GAATCTTTTGTGAACCGGGTGCGATTGCCGAGAGGTTAGAACTTGATCATGCTACAACCACTATCCACAGCTGACTTTGCCAGCTTTGTTCAGGTCCAGCATTAATGATCATCAATCCCGACCACCTGGCTGTGAGAGAAAATCACTGCCGACAAACCAAAAAGAATTCCACCGGTTGTGTGTGTGGGTCTCAGAGAGCAGATTATCACATCAACCAGTGCGCCGTTGAGGCCTTTGTGAGCGGAGCAAACTCACAGTAGCCCGAGCGCCCAACATCAGCACCAAGCATCTTCCAGCTGCCCGTCGGAGCCAGTTCTGCGCCAGAACGCGCAGAATCTACCGCAGCGTGCCCGGATGTAGGACGCCGAGCGCCAGCAACACGAACACCCATCAAAATTGACAAAATTGAATTCTAGGGTGCAAGTTCGGAAGTTTGCACATCATGCCAGAAAGGCAGGGCTTCCGAAAAACTCCGTGCAGCCTAGAGCTGCTTCACTTTCGCGCTCGCCTCTTCTTGCCACGCGAAGGGAAATCCGCTGGATTTTTGCTGGAGCGGATCGCCAGAGAAGCGACCTTCCGCAACAACCTGTTCAACTGTGAAGATGACCTCCCTTTCGCGGCCGCGCCCAGAAAACTGCAGAGTCAAGCAGAACAACAACTCTTGTCGAGTGGTGCTTGGCTTCTTGGGCTATGTAAGAAGACCAAGAAAATCCCATAGGCCAGACGCAGTGCAAAGGATATAGCAAACCTTCGCGCCAAGCATGTCCATCTTCCACGTGCTGCCGCTGATCCGCCACTGACATTCCAGCATTGACAAGTTCCACTGTGGAGATGGGCGGTTTGGCCATGTATCGACGAAGAGAGCTGGGAAGCTTCAACTGGTCAAACCAACACGTAGCATCGCGCTTGCTAAGGCGTAGTGGTCTTCCATCGCTGCACTCCAGAAAGGTCAACGCAGTTGGGGAAGCCAAGTGTCTCGGCTTTGGAGGTGCAGAAGCTGATTCTGAAACACGTCGGCCGTGCCATACCTCCCTCAGGCGTTCACCCCCAGGCTTCCCAACAGCGAAAGTGGTACCACCACCCTTGCAAAAAGTTGCTAAACTCAACTTACCACACCGCAGCTGCTTGACAACCAATTTTGCATATTCGTCTTTCGGGCCCTTAAGGAGAAAGATTCAAAAACACGCAAAGAATCATCGCTGTTGTCAAGGATTCCTTCAGGTGTTGCCAAGCTGGCCCGCACATGGGCTGGCAAGTGGGGCAAAGGATCGCATAAGCCAGCCGCTTGCAAGTTGTCCACCCTGTCAGCAACCAAGTCTTGGAAAGAAGTTGTACCTGCAGTGAAACCTGGCACAAAATCTGGCACAAGCCGCTCCCAGCCATCTTGCGCATGTTGCAGGCGTGTGAGTGTCCACACTGTGCGATCCACGATGTTTTTCAAAACTGCTTGTTGAGCGAACGTGTGCTTGCCAGTCGGCACTGTCTGCTTTATGCCGTGCAACCAGTTCAGAATGCCAATGACCACGTTGATGAATTGGAGGAGCACGCTCCACCTGCCACTTGTCATGTCTACAGGCTTCAGCATGCTACCACCAAGCGGGGCCAAGGGAAAAACATCTCGTTGCCGAGTTCTGACCGGCGGCTGCACAGGCAAGGAATTGCAAAGAAATTCACCCAACACTCCAGTTCCAGTTTTGGCGGCAAGGGCGAGACGGTAGAACAACCAAACCTTGTCTGATGGAATGGTGGAATGGCCATCTGCCCTCCATGCCAGCCACAAAGCCCTTCTGCGTCGGGAAGAACAACGGCTGGCAGAAGAACGGCCCTGTTTTGGATCGGAAGCACTCTGACGCGTGGCATGAGCAGAGGCTCTGTGGAAGTCGCGTCTTTTCTTGGATGGTGACATGCAAACTCTTCCCCGATGAAAACTTCTTTGCTGGCGGAAACCAAAAAACTCCAGCGAGGAGATCCAACGAGAGAGGAGCTTGATCACTGCCCACCCATGCCGGACGGACCGACACAGCACGAAGCGACCCTGATTTCTGACTGGAGCCCATTTGGCCACATTTCTACCGTTCATTTAAACAATTGATATCAGTTGATACTGGAACTCATCACTTTTCGGTTTCTGCTGACGAATGCATCACCTTTCACTGAACGGTTCGTTCATGAATAATTGTCCATTCGGTAACACCCCGACGCTTACATTCGATACTAAAGGCCCCCGACATTTAATTCTGTACTGAAACTCCCCGACGATTCCATTCGGTACTAAAGCCCCCCGACAATTACGTTTTGTACTAAAACCTCCCGACAATTACTTTCTGTACTAAAACCTCCCGACAATTACTTTCTGTACTCAAACCTCCCGACAATTACTTGCTGTACTAAAACCTCTCGAAAATTACTTTCTGTACTAAAACCTCCCGACAATTACATTCTGTACTAGAGCCTCCCGACAATTACATTCTGCACTAAACCCTCCTGACAATTACATTCTGCACTAGGACCCCCCAACGTGACCTCTTCCCACAGTGCCGCATAAAAAAAGAACCCTTAGCATAAAAAAAGAAACCATTAGCATAAAAAAAGAAACCAGGAGCATAAAAGAAAGAACTGCAAGCATAACAGAAAAAACCATTAGCATAAAAAAAAGAACTATAAGCATAAAAAAAGAAACCCATACCCCAAAAGCACACCAACCCCGCTGTGAGCATAAGAAAAAATACCATTAGCATAAAAAAACACCCAGCCCATATTTATTTATCTGTCTGTTTGTCTATCGATCTATCTCTCTATCTCTCGATCTATCTATCTTTCTATCTTTCTACCTTTCTATCTTTCTTTCTTTCTTTCCTATCTGTCTATCTATGTATCTATGTATCTATCGATCCATTTATCTGTCTATCTTTCTATCTGTCTATCTGCACTTCAACATCCACAAAGTCCTGCTCCTGCCACTAAATCCGCACTTCAACATCCACAAAGTCCTGCACCTGCCACGAAATGTGCATTACAAGGTCCACAAAGTACTGCACATGCCACGAAATGTGCATTTCAAGGTCCACAAAGTACTGCACCTGCCACGAAACACGAGAAACAAAACAATATCCGTAAAAAAAATAAATAAATCCTAAATTCAATCCGAGCCCGTTTCAATCCTCCATGGAAGACCGCTGAGTTGAGGCGTTCATTTCGTTTTGGTCACAACACTTCAGGGGGCCAGAATACTTAAGGGTCTAGGGAGCCATGAAGTGCCAAGGATTCACGATTTCCCAATTGAAGGCTCCACTTGAACACTTGAAGAGTTGTTGCCTGTCGCAACTCCAGATTTCAGTTCTCCCGAAGGATTTCCCGATGAACTCTCCATCAAACCTGCCGGAGGACCACGGTGATTGTTCCACGGCACGGAACTCGGGGCGGCAGACCGCCCAAGCTGCCGACGCTCGACGTTTTGGCCCATGTTGGTCCTCAAAAAGCCATCTCCACAAGCAACCCAAACCCAGCTGAGGTTTCGTGAGCACACACTGCATGTACTACAGTGAATCAGTGAAGAAGGTAAGGTAGTGGTGTGGTAACAGAAAACTGGTAACAGGATAACATCCTAGTGACGAGACCCAAAACATCTGCAAAGTCGTTAAAACATGAGCCCTCACAACCAACATTCAGCAGCCTGATTTTTTCAGCGGAATGCGCCGCGCCACAGAACCGTTTAGAATTTGCTGGAGTTCCTGCATGTCTGTCCAAATGACGTCTGCCTTCGAAGATCACTGTAATCGCTGGCCATCTTCCTTGGCACACCTTTGCTCTGCTGTGGGCATATTTTCCATGGGCCGCATGAAAATTCATTGTGTAAAGGCTTGCGTGCAAGTGCAAGTATACGCAAACACACACACACACACTGGGAACACGAATTTGGGCTTCTCATCACCATTTCTGGAAAGCAGAATGCTTCTACCAACAGCTATTACAAACTATAGTACTATAGTCATAGTGTATCTGCTTGGGTACTATAGCCATAGTGTATCTGCTTGGGAAGCATTTCAGATCGTCCCACAGCTCCTTGTCCACCATCGCTGGCTGGATCTCTCTGAACAACACAGGTTGGCACATCGCGTGTCCCGAGGAGGTGAGGGTGTAGTAGAGGACCTGCCCAGGTCTGACCGATCAGGAACTAGGTGAGAGATGGTCCAAATGGTCTACTTGCCAAAAGGACAGGGCTGCGCCTCGGAAAGACGGCCATGGACCATGAAATATGCAAGAACTTGCAAGAACTTGGATCGCTCCCCAAAGAAACCTGAGATGAAACCTGACCCCAAAGAGTCAATTCCCATGCGGAAAACAAACACACACACACACATTCATCATTCATGAACCCTTTTTTTGGGGCACCAAACAAATGCCACGGAGCCGATTCGCCGATGGCGGACTCATGATATATGGCATCACCATGGCATCACCGAGATTGCTCCCACAGGTCACCACAAGGAAACACTACCACTGGTTCATTCTGGCGAGGTGGAGGTGGGCCAGAAGAATCTAAAACAAGTGGCTAGCAAAAAGTGGGCACGTGAACACGCAGCCATACGCAGCCCCTCAGAACTCAACATGGACCTGCTGGTCAAAGTCCCAACACAGCCATCGGTATCCTGCAGGCTCATGTGGCCGCGGGGCGTGCCAGTGTCTTAAGGGAGTGGTCTCTAATGATCTAAGGTTCTTGCTCCCCACTAGGAACCTTTCGTTGGAGGGATTGTATTTGCATTTGCCAGGTCAAGTTGACGCTGGCAGGAATTATGGGCAGTTTTATGTATATGTGTTTATTATAATATATGTATTCAACCCGTTTTCTGGGTTTTATTTTGACTGTTTGGTGGAGAGCTCTTTTTTTGACCCGTGTCAAGGTTCTTTTGGACCCGTTTTGGCCGACCCGCTTTAGGGTTATTTTTTTGACCCGCTTCAGGAATTATTCTAGTTAGCCAAACATGTTTGCAATGACAACTCCATCAGTCTAGCTGCAACTGTGACCTGCGTCCCACTCTCTAGACTCACCACATGAATACTGCAGCTTCTGAAAGCAACCCCCACGAAATCCGCTGTTGTCCTGAGGTCCATCGCCAGGGAGGCTTCCCATCCATCTGGATGAGGTTCACCCAGGCCTTGTGAAGACCTGATCAAGGCCGTTCAATCTTCTCAAGGCAGCACCACCATTGCAAAACGCCCAGTCCAATGCACAAATATATATATATATATAGATAGATCACAACATCAAATTGCACCTACTGCACATGCATGACGCCATGATGGATGGCTCAATAGTATTCATTGTCAATATTACTAAATACTTGTTTTGTTTTGTTGACTTGTAGTAGGGCTCCACCAATTCCAGCCTATGCATACAGTATATCCATGTATATCCTTTGATCCCCTTTGTAAAAAGCCCCTTGGATTGCATTCTGTAGGATTCATCGAGCCTGCCACTGGGCCCATGCGCTCCATGCGCCATGCGGAACCCGGTCTGCTGCACGGCAGGTGTTGGATTGGCATACCGTCACTATACCAAGGCACATTGAGGTTTCCCTAGCATTGAATCAAGATAGGTTCAAAAAACGCTTGACACAATCAATATTAATTATCATGTATAATACATATCTCAATATTACGAAGTGGGCATGTGACACAATCACAAGCATTGCACAACGACCGGAGTGGCATCTCCTTTTCCTTCCACATTCGATTCTTGCAGCAGGAAGTCTAAATACGTAGTAGGTTGATGCCTGCGCCGTGCGCACCAAATGTATGTGCGGCACTGTTGGTGCAAGTATAGGGCCAAAAGGCTGTCTAAAAATAAGTTGACCTTGCATCCACGTGAAAAGCACAACAAATGTAGTTTGGACACACCCGCCCGCTATTCACGCAGCCGACGCTTCTGTACAAGCTAGCTGTCGCGCTGCGGATGGGCCTGCGGCCTGCGAGAAAAAAAAGGGTGGGCGATGTTCATTCGCACTCGCGAGTCCCTGAAAGCCTGAAACTTCTGATAAACCAAAATAAAGAAAGCAGGTGAAATGAGGAAGCTGTCTGTCCAACGACAAGGCATTTGCAGCTTTCGATTGCAGGTTCCCGATACAAACCACAGTGAAGGACCGCACCCTTCATCTGTACCCAAGCAAATCCAGCAGTTCACCAAGTGTTATCAAGTTGGCAAACCGGACATCTATGGAGTATGAAGTCTGAAGTCGAAGGAACAAGCGGCCAAACTGATGTGAGGTGTTGAAGGAAACGAGGAGTGGATGTAAAGGACCTCCTCCCAAAACGACTCCGACATTCCGTCACGAGTCACACCTTAGAAGCACAAGGGAAAACACCTTGAGATCCTTAAGGCCAGCAAAAAATGTACTGTAATATAAAGTAGAAAGTAGATCTACCAATCGCAGGCTCGTTGGCTGCATGGTGCCACATGGTGCCATCGTCTACCACGAGCGTCTGCCCGAGGGCAGGACTGGCTCTGAGCTCCTCTTGAACCTGGCCATCTCTCCGAAGATCATGCACATTCATGCACCCACAATGCGTTCGAAAGGGAAGCGTTCAGAAGGTAAATCTTCATCCGCGTCACGTTGATCGAGACAAAACAATTCTGAATTCTGAAGAAACGGCTTATGGCACATCAAGGCGCAAAACTGGATACGTGAAGCATTGCAAGGAAAAGGCTCCCGCCAATGCAAGCAGGTTCCATCCATACATGGATTCGCTCTCCGAAGCCGCTCGAACGGTGTGATATAGTAGTACGGTATAATGATGTGATGTGCATTGATTTCATACAGTATGGCCAAAAACACACTCAATGTATATATCATTATATATCAATGTTACATTGCAATGCTTTCGGTTAGCTGTGTACCTCGTCTTCGGGGGTCACCTCGGGTCACCTCGGTGCCTCCGAAGAGCCGAAGAGAATCGGTGCCGAACGGCCGGTGCGGTGCGAGCGACACGTGCGGGCGCGCCTCACGTGCCAACTCGGCCTGCGGAGGATAGACATGGGATGGGTGATCTGACGTGAAGAAGACTCCAGAAATGGACCCAAGCCCCAAAGCCCACAGAACATGCGGAAGAAATTGCTGCCCGGCATCCATCAGGTTGGTGGTTTCTCTCTGTGGAGGTGTTTCTGTCCGCCGACAGTCCGTTGTTTCAACTGTAGCCTGAATCTTCCGAGGCAGGGGTCCAGGCTTCTACAACCCAAATTCCCAAGCGGAACAACGACTCGTTTGTACCTACAGGCCGAGAATTGTGCTGGATATACACATCTTAATCCACATCCCAACCATTCCCAACCTACTAGTAAGAGGGACCAACCATTCCCAACCTAAGCGCTCTAAGGACGGCCACTGCCGTCAGCCCGCCTTGGCGCGTGCCAGCTCCTCGGCGAGCGCCGCCTGGAGCCTGCCGTTGTGGCAACGGTCCCCGAAGAAGGGGTGGTTCTCCACCATGAGTAGAATGGGCGGAAGTTTGCTCTTGACATGGGTCTGTGTTTGAGTTGTTTGGGTGAACTCGTTACCACACATTCGCAATTGAGCCAAGAACCTTTTGGAATGGATGGAATTTAGTGAGAATGAAGCGAGCAGTGTCTTGTGGTTCTCTCAGAATGTATCACAGGGGTTACTGAATAGTGTGCGCAACACTCCTACTTACAAACCTTCAAACAAATAAATCAACTACGACAAAAAGAACACCAGCGGTTCTTGAGTACGGGGGTGTCTTCTAAGACTTGTGTAAAGCGTTTGGAACATGTCTCGGACAGGATCACAACTGAGGGCTGAGTCCATGTTCGTTTGCTCGGTATCATGCACAAGTTTACTCAGGGTAACCATTTAGGCACCTTTCGCTGACCACTCTCTTATAGAACCTGGACCCCAGGGCTTGCTTCGCGCAAGACGTGCTGCAAATAGTTGGCAAAAGCCTTCTGTGGAAAGCCTGGTGTTCTTTATTTTTTTATGCATTGTTCACATGATGAACAAGCTTGGACCGTGACGAAAGGCCGCGTTCATTGATGTATTCATGTGGGAGAGTTATGATTATGTGTTTTACCGTCTTTCTTTGCAGTGCACATCATTCAATCTTGACCAGTCCCTATATTTGTGTATAGCGTGGGAGTTGTGCTGCATGGTGTGCTGAAACGTTCACGTAAAACGTATTTCTAATAAATATAATATATATATATATAATATATAAAGCTCCCTTTCCCTGATATTCGATATCCCTGCAAAAGCCAACAAGCTAACATTCTACCTGACTTGCTGTGGGGTGGGTTGTTACACGGGTTTGCCCGCAATGAGGCTAATGCATAATGCCTCAATCCTCATAAAAAGGACCCTCAAGTTCACCAAAAGCGCCCAAGTTCGTTCACCCTCTTTTCGCGCGCCGTATCCCAGCGAAAGCGCGGCGCCGTGGTGATGAATCCGACCCGTCGCACCGAAGTGAACGCCTCTGGAGTATCCGTGTAGTGAGCTCCTGGAACTCTTGCCTCGCTTCCAAGAGCACTGCCTAGCGCACGGGGCCACTCACTGAGTGAGTAGAAGCAGCTTAGTGGGGAGCTTTTAATTGGTGTGTTTGGTGTGTGGTTGCAGTTGTTGGTCCACCCTAAAGTATCTAAATCATCGGGGTCAGGAGTCCCGTGCTTGTGAGCGAAAATCCGTGCAAGCATGGTCCCACAGGACTAGGTCACAGAAACAAGTTCCATCACTCGTTTTGAAACTCCTCATCTACTGGCCAATGCCGCCAATCACTATAAATATTGAACAATAAATATGGATAAATGTATAGGCCTTCCCGGAGAGTGTGTTTTCGTGTTGCTCCTTTTCATGCCAAGATATGTGTGTCAAGGTCCGGGCGCCCGTTTCGTCCTAATCGACGTGGCCCAAAGCACACCGAAAGCCTCCATTGGGCTTTCGAACGGCCGCGGCCTCGGTGGCGGGTGAGACCTTGTTCGGCCGTTGGGGCCTCCCCAAGGGCAACCTCCGACTGGGTAGCGGACGTTCTGTGTGCAATGCGTATAGAAGTTCAACAGTCGTCTGTTCAAGTACCATGGAATTGGAACTTCTCATCCTCTCTAAAACCATGGAATTCCCCTGAGATTGCCTCACATAACATAACATAGCAACTCCTTACTTGTGTGTGCGTGGCCGTGTTTCGTGACGGGTGCTGGTGGAAGTTCAGTAACAAGTATACGTACGATCATGAACATCAAGCAGTTGGCTCTCAACTTGAGGTGTGCAACATGTGCCAAAGCTGTCCACCCGGGTGCGGCACGCTGGTGAGAAAATCTTAGGTTTCACGGTTTGCATTGCATTGAACTCCGTTCTGTTGCCTTGAGTGTGTCAAGCATATCCCCGTTTGGTAAGAGATTTGTTGCCTGGGTGGTGCCCAAATCGCTCAAGAGTAGCTGAGAAACCCCACCCCAAGCAATGTTGCATAATATATATATATATATGTATACAGTACTCTGATTCGATGCTTACAATGACAAATTGCAACACAACGGAAGGCAACCTCATGCATTTGTGCCATGCTCGCCTCATCACGAGGTGTGGATGGCATCCCTTTGAGGTCTGTGAGTGAAAACTGGGCAACCCCCCCGCTGAGCAGCGAAAAAGAACAAACGACTAGACTAGACGACGACTGAGGAGGTGCACCTGCCAGGGTCCAGGATTCGAGTCCAATTTCTTCCAAGGGCCAAACGAGGCCAATGTGGAACAAAGTCCAGGGAGCTTGAGCCAAAAGAAGGTTTAGCCAGTCCAGCAGTGGATGATGGTTTGCCAGCACTTGATTTGACTACCACAAAGGTATATGCACCATCTGTTCATGTTCAGGATGAAGTACATGGTCCATATTCCACTTGATACCTTTTACATCCTTTACTGTACACGGGTTATTGTTTCCGAATCAAAATTGTAATGCTTGAGGGTGCTACCTCTGCCTGACTGCCTGACATAGCGCCCCTTTTTGTCACATCAGAGCGAGGCTGCAATCCTCCGTGATCAAGTTGGGCTTGGTGCGAATGTGGGCGGGCAGGTTTGACTCCGGCAAAGACCGCATTTTCCTGAGTGGCATGTAGAGTTCACGCATGTAAAGTCCCAGAAGTTTTGCCACTCGACAGTGACAGGAATCTCTCGTTAGCCAGCAAACGAGTTCTGTGCCCCTGGTGACGTACGTCGCAGCTTCGGTTGCCTCAAAGTTCCACTGTCTGTGCTCACCCTTCAGCAAAAGGTGCCGGTAGGGCAAATGTGGCTGCTATCTACCCCTACCCCGCCTTCTTTTTGGTGGGTGCTGAGTCTACATGTGTCTCCACCGCTAACTTTGAGGGGCCAAGAACCGAAGCCAAACATAATATGCACTCTGACTATGCAAGTGTACAATGGCCCGTGGAAAACAGGTTTTGACCGAGGTGGGTGAATTCCATTAAATTCCTCTAGAACAACGTACTTTTCCAAGTGCATGTTGGTGAGGGGGTGGCACACTGACAGAAACAACATATTTGGATTGGTTTTGGATTGGTTTTGGTGCAAACCCCCTTGTGAAGGAAAATGGTCTTCAGCCAACGAACTCGCAGGTCCCAGACCGTTTCAGTCGCTCCGACACGTCGAGGATCCTCATCCCACGAAGTATCGCACGCCATGAGTACCACGTTGGACCTGCCAGGAACTGGTGAACGAGGACCCGCTTGGCGACCAGCGGCATCCGAGAGGGGGAGTGGATGTCACATGGCGAGTCGATGCACGAGTTGCTTCAATAGCACAATCCAATCCACAAGTTGGAAACCATATAATCCACACGCTGGCAACCACACTTGGCTTCGCTGCATTCGACAGTTTTTGCTTTGAGCGCATCACACTACAACCTTGAGGGTAACTTTGCCTTCTTACCTCATGGTGTCGATACGCTGTGTTGTGCGAGCTTCTATTCTCCGAGCTTTATGGTCTGTACAGCTTTTTGACCTCTCGAATTTTGTTTTGCACAGCCTTGTATTTTCTTCTTTGCCTTTGCCCTTTGCTTTTACAGCTGAAGTCTTGTGGTTCCCAAGTGCATGATGAGTGGGGACTGGCCAGTCTTTGCTGAAGGTGCTGACAAGGGTGGCTCGTCCACTACGAAGGAAATCCCTGCATACCCCGGAAGGGTGTTATGCGGGTGGCACATTTGCCAAGTGTTTGTGTACTACAGGGTAACCTTTAAGCATCTCTTTCACTCTTTCACATCGATCTGAGAAGGCGGCTTTTTGCGGCCTAAACAGTGAAAAGAAGTTGGGTCAGGATGACCTCCAACTCAAAAGCAAGGATCTCTGACGATCCTCCGAGACCTCTATCTCCAGCCGTGGGTCGCTCCCAGCAGCTGGCAAACATGTCATTCTTGCTGCTCTCCTCCTTGTCGATCCCCCGGGCAAGTGCCGTTGGAACCACTCATCTACCACATTTTGTCTCACAGGGGACCATGCAACCGGCAAGCATTGGCACCAGTGTGACAGGACAGCCGATCCAGGACGCTGTAATTGGAAAAGCGGAGGGGCTTGAAGGTGGTGCCCTGACTGACGCGAGATGTATTTTAGACTTCTGTCGAGGGGCATACGATGCTCTTTTGAATAGCATTCGCTTAGGCTCGTGACATCTGTACAGGCTCTTTCATTTTGCGAATGTGTGGAGTGTTGGTGCCGCATGCCCCAATGATTCTTCAAAACCCCACTACTTTTGGAACCCTTCTGACTTCCACACCACTCCCAATTCCCTGGTATATTTTGATGCATGTCGCGCATGTTCACTTCACAAACATGGTAGCATGCATATATGATATATGTGTACACAACATTTTATGTAACTATAGATAGATAGATATCACTACCAAATGATCTAGGTATGGAATTCATATTTTCAGGATGCCGGACTTCACCGATGTCACTTACTAGTAAGTTGAGGGGCTTGCCTTTTCCCAACTGCATGTCTTGAGCTTCTCACATGATTTAGGAATCTCTTGGCGCACCAAGCTACATGCCATCCGACTACTCACCAATCGTGGCATCATATCATAATATATATTATTAATCTATCTCTACTAGAGCTCATCTCATCTCATCCAGCCCCTCAGCCCCTCGGAGAGTTCGCCTGAGCCACCTGATAAAACTCGGCAGTGCTCACCGACCGATCCTGGCGCGCACCGTTCGCACCGAACTCGTTCTGAACGCATGCTGGAACGATCCCGTGAATACTATTGCACTCGTCCTCTTCTCATGGCCGGTCATCCCAAAGGCTGCATGGCAAAGCAAACGAGGATGCGGAAAGTGGCCGGTGGGCTAGGCATTTCGATGAGGACCTCTTTTCTGCGACCAACGCGCTGATGATGACATAGGGCAAGCCTTTCTGGATGGCAAACATGTCCCACCCAGATCATCGTGAAGAACTAATGTGTTCCTCCCCATCCTCCCTTTCAAGGTTCACCAGTTGTTTGGACATTCCAACTTGGGTGAACATCGCCCTCTCGCCTTCAAGGCCACTCCGCGCGTAGATGGGGCGAAGCCTGGCAGTCGCGAAGTACCGTCGAACCGCGCGTGACCGACGGTCGAGGCTCAACGCCCAGTCCCATGACTCGGACCGGATGACTCATTTCCCTGGAACTCAGAAGTGGAGTGAGCGAGTGAAGGCTCCACCTGTGACAGGCCTTCGGATGTCAGACAGTCTTCCGAACGAGTTCCGGGGCCATTTTTGATTCACGTCACCATCTTAGTTCCAGGGAGTGCACCCACATGGCTTCCATGACAGGGGCCTGCTTCACATACCCATACCAAGACGGGTCTGTCTCACCGATAAATGTAAGAGATATCCCGCACCAAGTCAGAAACGGTCATAGGGAGTTGGGCAATGCGAATCCCCCTCTGGCAAATTTCCGCTGTCGGGGCAAGCGCTGTTTCACTGCAACATGAGGTAGGTCAACACCCTTCGAACAACGACCATATGTCATATCACCCTGATTTGTCCTGCAAAGCCACTAGACAAGAAGACCAAGCATGGAAACATCAGTGAACAATCCATGACCCCAAGCCACCACCTGCTCCAAATGAAACTCGGTGCTACCACAAAAGCTGTCCCGGCGGCACAAGACTCCACGCACATGTATCATGTCTCATGTGTATATATATATATATAGACATGTAGAAATTAAACGACAAACCCTAACTCTTTTTGCAACGACATCCAACAAAATGCCACCATCCACCACACCGTTGCAACGCAGCGACCAGGCACCTGGACGCTGAAGCAGTTCCTTCACCACCGGCAGTCCCACCAGATAGGCTGCTTCACAGGCTTCGTTGAGAAAGAAGTCCTACAGGGAAGACCGAGCTGGGGGAGATGAAATAACGAGAACAAATAACACACAAAAGTGGTTAATTAGTCGAAAAATAAAACAATCAAACATGTAGATATTTAAAGCATGTTTAAATTTAAACAAACACGCATTTGTTTCTAGTAGCGTTCTAAAAAACTTTCATATGGTAAGGCCAGAATCCTTGATTTAAAAAAAAAAATCCCCCAAAAAAACTCAACTGGAAAAGTCAAAGTCAAAAAAATCAAATTGAAAAGTCCAAAAAAGTTAAAGAAAAAAAACACAAAAAACTAAAAACAAGTCAAAAAGAAACAAACATGTCCAGTCAACCGACCCAGGAGCAAAAGAAAGCCGGCATATATATATATATGGAAAACACAGGCACAAAGGACAACAACATTGAACTAAACTAGTAACAAACTCATAAGTCAGCCAAGGCAAATTGCAGCCTTTTTGCTTATGGCTTATGGCTTTCAGTCTATTAAAAATTCTAGAACCTTTTTGGTTGTTCAACTTTCACCTTTTCCAGCCCCAAGCCAGCCCCAACCCCCTACCCCAGAGTCGCAGGACCCCTACCCAGCCCCAGCCACTGTCGCAGGGTCTCTTCAGCCCCAAGCCAGCCCTGTCCCTGGTGGCCCTGGTAGCCACCCCAGAGTCCCAAGTACCCAGCCCTGTCCGGCCCCAGAGTCGCGAGCAGAATTGATTTTTTTTTGACATTTTGTTGCCTCCAGTAATCCGCCAAGGCTAGGATAAGCACATTTGACTTTTTTTGAGTTTTTTTACTTTTCCAATTGACTTTTACTTTTGTTGACTTTTTTTGCCGGCCCAGCCCCGCATGCCCCAGCCCGCCTGTAGCCTGCCTGAGCTCGACCTCAACCTGACCCCTCCGCCACGACCCAGCCGCAGCCAGCCCAAAGCCTGGCTGGCAGCAACCTGCCCCAAAATTTGAGCAGCAGCTGGCTTGGGGCTGAAGAGACCCTGGGACAGTGGCTGGGGCTGGGTAGGGGTCCTGCGACTCTGGGGTAGGGGGTTGGGGCTGGCTTGGGGCTGGAAAAGGTGAAAGTTGAACAACCAAAAAGGTTCTAGAATTTTTAATAGACTGAAAGCCATAAGCCATAAGCAAAAAGGCTGCAATTTGCCTTGTTACAAGCTTTTCCTTGACTTGTTTACCTATGCAAAGTCTTTGTTTGACTTTTTGTTGACTGTTGATTTTTTTGACTTTTTTGACGTTTCAAGTTTTTTTATTTTTACTTTGACTTTTGGGATTGACCTTTTTTGATTTTTTTTTTGATTTTTTTAATTTTTTGAAAACAAGTTCTTTCCAATGAAAGTTTTTTTATAATAGTAGCGATTCGCCCGCTAAAATGCAGCCTTCAACAGTGATGCTGCCGCACGAGGGAGATTCCTCAACATCTTTGATGTAGCGGGCAAGGAGCAGTCGATCAAAAATATTTGGATAAGTCTTGGTGGCGGCGGCGGCAGCCAGTTGAAAATGATGGTCTGTGTTAGGCGCTATATACTTCTACAATCTGGTCAAGGAAAGGAATGGCAAACCCTCCACCCCCCCGTCCGGGTCAATACCATCTGCCATCAATGGTGCGCGTGTTTTCTCACATGTCGCACGTTTCTTGCGCGTTGCGCCGGGAAAAATCGCCCGAATCGCCCGGGTCCATGTAGGCGACCGGGCTTTGCTTCGCTGGGGGCTCCATGAAGTTGCTGGCACTTCCTGGTGGTCTGAAGTGTGATGTCATGCAGCACCGAGTCGTAGTGTTTTTGCCCTGTCAAAACGAACGAAAGCGAACTGCCGAACACTGAACACGCAACAAACATCATGAATCTTGATGATGATGATGGTGGTGGTGGTGGTGACGATGGATATGACTGTGGTGATGATGATGACGATGATGATGGTGGTGAACATGATTTGACCTAAGGTTCGGGTCTTTTCTAGCCCCAATCCAACCAAGAAAACACAAATAAGATGCGGCTCAACTCCACCAGGTGTTCAACACCAGGCAGTCCAGGGGACGTGCGGCAGCCAGGTTGCATGCAAGAACGCCCCACACTGAAAGAACGTAGCAGAAAGGAACATGAAACAACGCGATTCGATTCCGACATGGGACAGTTACTGACTCACTTCACATCAACAAAAAGGGAACACCAAGCAACTGGCAGCCAAACCAATGACTTAGTAGCAGGATCAAGATCTAGATTAGTGATTCGAATCCTTTGGGTTAATCAGCGGCAATTCTGTCAAATTACACCTCCGACTCCGAACCATTGATTTGCTTTAGGGACCTCTGACAAACAAAACACTGTACAGAACAATCAGTAGGGCACATGCACACACAATATATTCCATAAATGTTGCTCATATATATAAATATATATATATAGTGCACCCCCCGGTACTATCTACCTTTTAGATGATTGTATTGTATATTACAGTGTTTTGTGCTGATTTTCAATATGCTCACCATTCTAGTTTTGTGGTTCTCTCCAAAACATTGTATACATACATTCAAAAGGAAAACCAAAGTACCAAAACTGCACAGACAAATGTCCTCAGAGTGGCTGAGGTCAGGTCATGTGGTCTGCAGATTTGGTACTTTGGCTCCCTTCTAAAGCCAAAATGTAACAAACAAAATGCACCAACTGCACAAGTCCCTTGACCTGTTCTCAGCAACTCTGAAGATATAGGTGTGTGCAGTTTGCTGCTTGAATCTGTTTGTAGTTGGGCTGCATCAATTTTGTTTTTTCAATCAACTACCTTTGAATGAAACAAAAACAAATATGTTTTAACAAAACAAATTCGGTTGTTTTCAAACTGTTTTAAACCTAGAACCGTAATGCGTTATATAAGTTGTTTATATATATATATATTTATTTTAATATAAATTGTTATATAAGTTGTTCAAAGGGTATTAATATATCGTTTTTGGACTTCTAAGAGGTACTCTTTGTCGGTTCCAATGACCTAAAACTGTCAGAATACCAATATGTCTTGAACAAAAATGTTGTTAATACCATGTGGAACTATTATAAATTTTAGTATACTTTAAGTTGTTTATATTTTAAGTTGTTTGTAAAAAGTTTTCATTTTTGGGTTTGTTGTAAATGGAAAGTAGGTTTTAGTTCTAGTCTATTTGCAACATTAAAAAACAGTCTAACTGGTTGCCAATTGCATAAACTATAATGTTGTATGTTTATACAGTAAGTGTTGAGTGTTTTAGTGAAACTAATTTGGTCCTAATTGATTTTTAATTAGATGGCAGTTGCTTGATATATTTATATTGTAAGAATAGAACCATGATAAAATGTGTTTTAATATGTTCCCAAAAAGAAATATACACGTTGGATCTTTTTCTAAACAAGTGTATTGCTGCTATTTGGCCTATGTTTTAACTTTTTTCAATTGTAGAGTTTGTTTGTATTGCACAGTTTTTGTAAATGTATTTTCAGGTAGCAAAAGTAAAGAGTTTGAAACCGTCTTCAACTAAATTGAACTTGCTCTTTTAAGACATTTTTGTTTCAAAAAATACATACAGTTGTAGTTGCTGGTTAACTAAAATCAACTCTTTTTGGTTTCCAATATAGTTAAACTGTGTTCAACTCACTTACATATACGTTGGACTTGACGCCTTATTGATCAGATATGTCCTGTATTGAAAATGATTTGAAAGTGCTTTTAGGTTTCTTTTTCTATTGTGTGTTGTGTTCTTCAATGTTGTTGTTTCCCAAAAACTAAACATAGTTCATTGATATTAATTTGCATTTGCTTTCCAATTTTCTATAAATATTCTATATGTTCTAACTTGTTCTCTAACCATTTTTGTGCGTTTGGTTTTTCTTTAAGGTTCATCTATATGTGATTGAATGTGCAATTTACATGTGTATTCACTTCCTTTTGGTCGAAAATCAATGTTTCATTAAACATATATATTTTTATTGTTGACATGTGTTTTCAATTTGTTTTGAGACAGTTCTCGTGTAGTTTCATTGAACTTTACCTGAATATACGTGCCATTTCACATTCACAAAGGTCTTTGATGAAAGGTTTTGGAGAGGAAGCCTATCTGTGATGAGGGGCTCCTGAAGGGCAATTCTGCGTTCACAAAAATAAAAAGGAGCTGTTGAAATGAAAAGCCTTAATACTGGACTTTTAATCGTTGCCTGGAGACCCGGAGGGCAACTATTGAAATGAAACCTTTTACAACAAAATCCTTTTCATATAGGAGTGATTATTCTCAAAGATGAAAAGAATGTAAGCTTTTGTATAAAGCTTCTTAAGGTAAAAGTGATCATTCCCAGAGACCAAAAAAACCTTTTGCAATGAGAAGTTTTTATAGCTTTTAAACATAGAAGTGACCATTCCCAAGGACCCAAAGGAAAGCTATTAAAATGACAATGTTTAGATAAAGTTTGTTGATATACAGTAGAAGTGATCTATGGCTCACATCTGATAAAACCACCCAAAAGGTAGGAACCGGGGGGGGCGAGCAAATATACGTGACACTCGCGATGGATGTCCATTATCTAAAACGTTCCCGGAGCTTCGGGCCAATGTTGCCTGCCTTGTTTACCCTACACACATATATATATATACAGATACATGCACATATGCATATATATATACTATATACTTTAAATGTATCTTTATATGTATAATCACACACAGACATACACTTTTGGATGCCTATCAACACCGACCCAGTTGTGTCTCCATTCCTGTCTTAAACCCACCCTCGTCCAAAGGCTCGTAGCACCAGCAACGCCGCTGCTACGCCCGACACCAGCCCAGCGCGGTGCAGAGCTGCCAAGGCCTCTGACGACCCGACCCCAAAGCATCCCAATCTTGGGCCATTCTGGGCCATCGCCCTCACATCATCAAATCAGTGTAGAACAAACTGTTTCAGTGCGAGAGGGTGGGCCACGCAAATCCCATGTGTTAGTCAGCCTATGTCAGCCTCAGGCCGTCCCATCTCAACAGAATCGGGCATCTCAGTTACACGGCATTCCCTACTTTGTGTCAACTCGGGGCAAAAATGCCTCAAACTCAAGCCAATATATTTACGTTCCCAAGTCCATGAATGTTTTCTTTTGGGGTGCTAGGCGAGAAACCGGTGCCTTAACATCCCCAGCCGCAATTAGTATCAAAGGCCTCAGTGGATCGTCACCACTCAGCTGGCGCCTCCGCCACGGCAAAGTCCTCCATGGCAGAGGTGCCCAAACGGCCCTGGGCACCGGGAAGCTTGATCGGAGCGGTTTTGGCAAAGCGTGCCCACGAACTTCTCAGTTGAACCCAAGACCACCACCAACATGAAAGCAACAAACAAGCCAATGCCTGCCTTAGTCCGTTCTTCCTTTATCTTTTCAAGCATCTTAGGTCCCTATTTTTTGTTGGGTGTGTGGCACTTAAAGAGACCATATTCACTACATGTATACGTAAAAAGGATTATAAAAACATACGGGAATGCATGCATGCATGTATAAATCATCACCACATCATGACATACACTATGCACACAACATTACATTACACCACAGCGATAATGCATACCCGAAAGCCGACATACGACACTACACATATGCATATATGAAAACACTACATTACGTTGCAGTACACACATGCATACAAACACTAAAGTTAATTCCATTACATTACATAAACTACCTTACATACACAACAAAACACAACATTGCATTTGATTGCATTTCAGAAACAGACATTTTAAAACACACATACATACATGCACACATACACGCAAACACACGTTACATACAATACACACACTAAATGCATTAAACACATTACATACATACATACATACAAACATACATACATACATACTAACATACATACATACATACCTACATACAAACATACATGCATGCATACATACATACACATAACATACTACATACATCACTTACATTGCTTACATTGCTTACATTACAAAATGTAATACATACATACATACATACATACATACTTACTCACTTACTTACATTACATTACATTCATACATACAAATATACATTACATTACATAAACACATACATACATACATTGAATACACACATTACTTAAAACATACAATACATACACTGAATACATTAAACACATTACAAGCATACATACATACCTACTTTACCATAGCGTACCATAAACCCCATCCCATCCCATACCATACCATTACATGACATACAACATTCACACATACATAAATTTCATCAATTACATACAAACATACATACATTACATTACATTGCGTGACATTAAACTACATTACATACATACAAACATACATACATACATACAAGCATGCATCCATGCAAACAAACATGCACAAATAACAAACATCGCATAGATAACATACATTACTACATAGATACATACATGCATACATACATACATACATACACACAGACATACATACATACATACATACGTACAACATACAAACTTACATACATACATACAGACTTACATACGTACAAACATACTTACATACATACACACATACATACATACATACAGACAGACAGACAGACATACATTACAAACAGGCTCAAGGCTCAAGCCATTTCATCAATCCAAGTGGTTCTCTACCGCTTGGCATTTGGGAAGGGCATGGACGCCACTAGATACCAGAGCACAAAGGCCAGATCGTGGAAGGCCTCGTGACCCATGCGGCGACACTACAAGGTATGTCAGCATTGCCGACAGAGCTGGATTTGGGAAGACCGGTTGCTCAGCAAACCGAACATGGCCTGCAATCGGCGCGGTCAGCCTTGGCAGCAGGACATCCTGCCAGACCTCAGCGGTCCAAACGGGTGACATGGGCCAGATGGAATTTTTCAGGAGCTGGAGGAAAACAAGGCGGTGGGCCTGGGGATCTTGGACCACGCACGACGAAGTGAGGCTGACCAATGACCAACATTGATGTGGTCACCATTGGGATTGCACCCACAAGTCAGGACCCGAGGCTGAAGCATTTTGTGGTGGCTCTGGTTCACTACACCCTCATTACGGGAGAGCTCCACAGAAAGGGAGCTTGCTTCCTGGGAGACAGGTTCTGGAGAGGGCATGGTTCTATGGGCGCCTTGTTGCACACTCAAGTCAAGGTGCAGGATTTGTCCACGAGAGCTTGGGAGGCCTGGGCCCATGGCAAAAACAAAGAAACCTTTCATGATCTCAACAACCTGGTCACAGTTGATCAAAGAAGCAAGATCCGCCCTCTCAGCTGGAGCCTCAAACAGGTCAATGACATGTTCTCAGGAGCTTCGGTGAAGACGGCGAAGACTCGCCTCAAAGATAGCAAAAAAAGGCGCCAAAGAGGTAGCTTTGTCTCTCCGGCCAAAGAAGAAGAAGCTGATCTCCGCACCACGGATCAGCGCTACAACAAAATAGCTCCGCTGGCAATCCAAAGGATTCGACACCTGATGGAGTCAAAGGATCACTTTTTGCGTCAAACCAGAGAGAAGGGCAAAGAGAAAAGCAAGAGGACTGCAGTGCAAGAAGTGTCAAAAAATAATCACTAGACACTGCAAGTATGAGGGCCTGCTGGCAGTCAAAGATGAACCGTGCCCCGCCAGCACCTCCCCTGTCCTCAAAGGGGGGAAAGATGAAGCCCAGCAGTCCAAGACAGAATTGCTCAAAAGTCTTCTCTCGGGCGAGGTGCCTGGGATGGCAAACCATAGTTTTGAGCTGCAAACCAACTACATAGTGTGCCGCAGTTGCAATGGGCGCACCTTGCGAAACTCCGCCAAAGACAAGCTGCTTGCTGCTGGAACCAGGCGTGGGCCCCAGGACCGGGACGGCTTGGTCATTGCAGCCACACCATGTGGTGCAAGGGAGGACGTGTGTTCTGCACGACCTGGAAAGCCCAGGGCCTGATGAAAGGAGTTGAGCACCAGGTCAGCAAGGCACTCAAGAAACAATGTGGTGGCGATGGAGCAAACCAACTGCTGCTTTAGAGCCAAAAGGGCTGACTGACGTTGATGCACAGGAAGAGACACAAAGAAAAACTAGATTGCATACATTACATAAATTACATACATACATACATACGTACATACATACATACATCCATGCATGCATGCATGCATGCATGCATACAAACACACACATACACACACATACATACATACATACAAACAACCATACTATTACATTACATACTGTTACATTACGTTACATTACCTTACCTTACATTACATTACCACATGCATACATACATACGTACATACATACATACTTACATACGTACGTACGTACGACTTACATACTTACATGCATGCATGCATGCATGCATGCATACATACATACAAACATACATACAACCTACATACAAACATACATACATACAAACATACACAACATAACATACCATACCATGCCATACATACAACCTACATACAAACATACATACATACAAAGATACAAAACATAACATAACATACCATACCATGCCATACATACCATACATAGCATAATTACATACCATAATTACATACCATACATACCATACATTACATACATTACATACGTACTACGTCCATACGTACGTACATACATACATACATACAGAATATTACATTACATTACATTACAGTCCATCTACACCACACCACACTACACGAAACTACACTACACTACATTCATACATACATACATGCACTCTTACATGCACACATGCATACATGCAAACTTGCATACATTACATTACTTTACATTACCTTACATTACATTACATTACACACATGCGTACATACCATTACATTACATTACATACATGCATGCATACATGCATACATACATTTACATACCATTACATACCATTACATTGCATGGCATTACGTTGCATTACTTTACAGTACATTACATACATGACATTACGTTACATACCGTTGCATTGCACTAGTTACGTTGCGTCACAGTATCTTACATTACATTAGATCAACACCTTCCTACATACATACATTGAACTAAATCACGTGTCACTTGCTGTGAAGATCGTCTACACGCAGCCGTCCAACATCCATCAAAATCTATCTCTATATACATATATCTATATCTATATTATATATATTGTATTTCTGTGGAAGCACGCAGCATAGAAGTAACGAAAAATGCTGGGCAGATGTTCTCAGACCTCAGAGCTATTTTTGATGGAGTTGTGGTCCGTTGTCATGGTGACCCTGCAAGGAACAGTAGACAATCACATGTTTCTTTGACTTCCAGACCCTGGAAAAAAGGACGTCAACCTGGATTGATTGGAGACAAGCTTTTGATCAACCAACTTGTGGACAATAAGTATTCTACTAATTATTCTACGTCAGGAAATGTATTTTTTCAATGGGGCCATGTGTGCCTCATAACCTGACGCATGTGCAAAGAGCATTCTTGAAAGACCTCACCAGGAAGCCAGGAACATCTGGAATGTTTGATCCTTACCACTCGGAACAGAAAAAGACATGAACACCCAAAGAGCATGCTAAATGAGATCCACATACATGGAGAAAAAGGCAGGGCACCTACAGTACTTACTATACGTCTCCCTATTTCAACCCCGAATGTTTGCGCGCCTGACCCCCGAAGCTCTCTGCTGGCAGCCAGTACTTCGTCCAGTTTCTCGCCCAGCCTGGGTCGAACACCGAACTGAGCGATCGATTCTGACAGGAAACCGCGAACACCGAGGACACTGCTATCTCCCGTGACGGAAAACCATGCTGACTCATGCCACTGTACCAATTTCCACTTGCCGCATGAGTGGAACTAAAGCGGAGAAGGTTGTGCACATCAGGAAGCCAGTGGACTTGGTATTCGCTGAATGCCACACATTCCCACAGCGGAGGCCGACGTCAAAGCATGCGCTTGAAAAAAAACATCATGTGGCACTTCAAGGAGAAGAGCAACTGCGTGAGCAAAACGGTTCCATTCAGCAGAAAAAAAAGGAGTTATCATGGACCAAAATGACAGTCGCACCGGTCGAGCACGTTCCCAGAACACGCGTGTAGAGGCACTGATCAGCAAATGTTTGGAGGGTTCTGAGCATGGAAGATGTTACAGGAATTTACAGTACTGAATTCTGGTCTGTGGGCGGGAACATGAGAACACATATTCGATCCTCACAGAGTGTCAGTGTCAATGCATCTTGTGCCAACTTGTGCTTTTCTTGAGGCATCGAGCCAATATATCTTGGCTGAAGAGCAAAGATCTCAAAGTAATGTTTGACAGTTTGACACAGGAATGCAGTTTCTAGTCACCAGGCCTGGGCCTGGGATTAGGGTTAGTTAAACCTGTCTACTGTGCATGAGGCAAAGTCAATCAGTGAAAGGGCAGTGTTATCCTTTTTCACTTGCGTTGCTGCTGATGCAGTGCGGGTTCTACCTAAGCATGCTCCCAAACAAGCAAACAACTTTAAGCTTGCAACATGTTGGGTCAACGGCGGGGGGGTGCCCGTGAAGGCAACCTTCCCGATGACCCAACTCAACATTGGACCCAACATGGTGTTGCCGGGGGGTTGGGGGGCTGGGGACAGTTGCGTTCTTGTTTCAACTCGCGTTACGGAATGGCAGCTGTGATCAAGAAACCATGCTCGGCAGCTGTGATCAAAAAATCATTGCGCAGAATGGTGAAGCTTGCGATGTGAAATTGCAGAGAGAGCACGTGGATGGCCTGTCAGCATTGTGGTTCAGCCAACATCCGGGCTTTGACCCAACCCTTGAAGCGGTGAAAAAACGTTGAGAAGCTATGCAAACACCCGTCCGCCAGGTGTACAGTGACCTGTCATGGCTGGAGTGGGCCGATGACTGCGAAAAGGAGCGCGTGCTGCCTCACTGAAGCCTCATGGTGTGAGAGGCGACGTAGCAAACTCAACTCAACTGATCGTCTTGGAGTTCATGAGTTGACTAGCCCGAAACGAAACAAAAGCAAACAACACTGTAAAACACATGGTGTTCAAGCCCTCGGAATGTTGCTTCACGGGCAATGGCAACCCCGCCCCGTTTACCCAATGAACATGTTGCAACACAGACTGACACAACGAGCAGCAGCATGGCAGCACAATTTATGACTGAACATGTAGTCTGACTCAGTCATAGCAATACCTATACAGTTTCATGCCAAGATCTTCCTTAGGCATCCTTAATAAATCTGCCCGTTTTCACAAAGAAACTGCAGCCTCGAGAGTCAAAATCGCCGAGGCACAATCATCTGAATTCATTCATGCATGCACGAAGCAAAGCCATAAATTGAATGAAACACGTTTGTTTCATATTGTCTTTTTATGCAAACGTTTTGCAAACGTTTTTCCCGTCACTTGGGCGTTCTTACTCGTTACTTAGGCTTAGGCGTTCTTGCCCGTTCCCCCTCACTACCATCCGTGGTTGGGTGTGCACGGACAAAGGCACCTTTACCCATAAAAGGCAGATATATAATTCTGACCAAGAAAAATTGCAGGTACAGTATATTCGTATACGGATGCGTCTGGAAAGCAAACCGAAAACGGAATTAAATGTTGAATTTAAGCTACCTGTTTTGCCTATGCCATGTGGGTACCTAAGAGGGGCTTCAATTCGAATTCCAGCTGTGGCGCGCACCTGTCGGGAACCAATGCCGTGTCCTAAATTTGAATCCGAACCCAGCCCACCACCAGGGCGCCTTTTTGCAAAAGAAGTTCAGTCTTCACTCTGGGTCTTGACGTTTGCCAAGGGACTCGCTGACTGTCGCTTCGTAATGGTTCCAAGCGACATAAGCCAGTACAACCTCTGGCCCCCAAATCTCCTCCGAAACTGACTTTGGAGGCAGAAACTTTCGATCCATCACTGGGTTTTCCCTAATGACCTGCACTGGCCGGAGGAACAAATGCGCTGCTGCTTGCAACCTGACAAGTAGCGTGCTGCGGGCAGCAGCGCAACTTGACATCTAAACCCTCTGCTTTGCACGCTTGAAGTATGCCCTGATAGCAGCTGCAATTAAGCAACCCCAACTCCACCGGTACATCCAAGGATATCCAAGGATTGACCTCGATCTAGAAACATAAAGAAGAGTCTTCCTTGGTTGTCAGCATGAGAGCCACTGGGAAAAATCTCATAGAAGGCCCTTTCACTGAACTGATCAAGCCCACCGGACCGCACACTCCCAAAAGCAGACCCTCTTGATTGGTGCAGAAAGTCAAGTCCATCAAAAGCAAGATCTCATCAGTAAGATCTCGGTCTGCCAAGCAAAACGGAATAAGCAGTTTGTCCTCCTGCATAACTACATGCTCCTGCAACACCTCAATGCCAACTGGGGGCTCTGTAACAAAGAGCCTGAGTTCGTTCAAAGATTCTGCACTAATGCTTGGCAGCCTGCCCTCACTCTGCATCTTGTACTGCTGGTTCTTGAGCTGGTGCTGATCTGGGAGAACATTCTCTGCATATCCACAGCGTCGCATCATCTTCAGTGCCTTCAGAACAAGTGAGGTGATCGCGACGGTGACGATGATGACGATGACGATGATGGTGACGATGATGATGATGATGATGATGATGATAGTGATGATGATGATGTTGGGAAAAACTCTTCTTGAGAGCTGAAAATGTTTCCCATATTCACCGGCCTTGGAAAGAAAATGCTGCGCAAAAGCTTTAGCATGCGCCCTCTTCAAGACAGCCGTGTTCTTGTTCTCTGTGTGCTGGCCAACTGCTTCAACCTGGAGCTTGTTGTCTTGAAAAGCAGTGCTGGTAAGAGGCAAGCAAGACACCGAGCTATCAAGGTTGCTTTCCCATTGTGAGAGGAGTTGGTGAGAGTCTTGTGAAGAGTCTTCTGAGAGGAGAGCCACTTTTGCCCAGCCACCCGAAGAGACTCTGACTCAGGCACATCCACCACGGCCACAACCTTCCATGGCTTTCGCCTCCTTCCTCTGGAAGGAGTATCAACTTCCACCTCCTCAGCCTGAGCCATCATTTTCTGGCGAAAATTGAAATTCGATGGAAAGCCAATGACTTCGGGAGGTCTTCAATCTAAAGTTCAGCCGCCTAGGAGACCACAAGGTCTTAAATTCAGATTTAAGGCAGCTAGTACTTTGAACCTTTGAGAAAAGACTTGATTTCAGATCCTCACAAGGAATTACATTCAAATTTATGCCGGTGTATAGAGCAAATCCTGCCTTGGAAACCTTGAATTCAAATCCAAGTGACTTCTCTGTGACTGTCCCCTCTCAGCTGCAAAAACAGCTTTCATTTGAAGGAAACTCATTTCGAAATCTGGATTCCAAACATATTCGTATACACATAAGAAGTTTGCCTGTATGGAACCCTCAAGAAAAATGGAGCCCCACAAACCGCGCAACTATGTTTTTTTAATCAACCTGAATTCTTTTCCGGACAGGGCATGCTACAATGTACTTGTACAATAGAACACAAGACCAGGGGATTTTGCAACCAGGGGGGCTTGCATCACATAATTTGTTTTTCCTCACGGAGCAGTATAGCCATTCAACAAGCAAGCACCAAACCCCAGGTGGATCGTCGTTGCTCATTTTGAAGTCCAAACCTAGAAACTGAACAGCACCAACAATCAATCTGCGGTGGTTTGTTCCACTGAAAAAGGCAGTCTTGCTGTGAACATCCTATAGACAACACCGACACCAATGTTTTGGAAAATAGTTAATAAAATGTCATAACATTTCTTGGTTCTTTGGACTGTCACATGGCTGTGGCCTTCGAGAAGGCTGATGTTGTCCAAGCGGCCGGCGGACCAGCTCCCTGTCCAAAATACATCTGTGGAAAGTGTATCCTGAGCTCAAACCGCTGAGCCTGGTGTTTCTTCATGTGGGGCATGGGAGGCTGTGAACAATGCCTCCTAGAACTCGTCAAGTGACCCAATGGCTGCAAGTTTGATAACTCCTTTTAAGGAGAACTTGTGTTGCATGGTCTCCAAAAAGGCAAAATGTATTCTCTGAACCGATTGCTCTCTTCAGTTGTATTTCCTTAGGGATGAAAACATTCACCCGACTGCCCCTGCGAAGCAAGCAGTGTTAAAACACCAACACGTCTAACCCGTCAGCATGTAGAATGCTGGAAACCTTGAGCCTTTTTGGGAAGAAACTGACAGGTGCAACCGTGCCACTTAGGAGTCGTCCTCCAATCTGTTGGTTCTTAAGTTTCTAACCCATCTAATGTGTGTCGAAAAGGGCCACTCCATTTTAGCCAAGAAATTTCCCCACAGTCTCCCACAGGCTCGAACCAGCGGCACCACTGGAATAAGGTGAGCGAAATGGGTGTCACCTCCTACACAAACAATGGGATGTTGGGCGCCACATGACTTTCTATCCACGTCCAACAGCCACTTCGCACAGAGCCTCTGATGCTATCCGGACCCTAAGCCCAGGGCTACTTCAGTCCAAAAACTGGAACCAAAGAGCTGATTTAAATCGTAGACTGACCGGAATGGGCCCTGGTTCGAAGTGAACCACTCGGGTGCACCAAGACTCAAACATTGAAGACCTTTTTCACCCGCAGCGAACCCGCGGCCGAAACCAACGAGGTCGACCCACAGTGCTGCAGTGCAAAAACGAAAGAGGAGGCACTCGAAAGGCTCAATGGTTCTAATTCTGATGTTTCTTGAGGGATGTAGCTGAGCCTGTTCTAAAAAGCACGCCATCTGGATTGCTACAATGCTGTGATGCTGCAGGCAGCCCAAGGCGCTCCCAGCTGCACCCGCGGCGGAGCGCGCGCAGGCGCCGCCGTGTATTTCTCGCGCAGTGATGCGAAGGCCTGACACCAGCAGTTCCGGTGCTTCATGGGAGAGAGGGGTGCCCATGATCCACTCACTTCAGAAAAAATATACTTGCCGCTTCGCCAACGTGTTCTTTCGATTCCAGAAAATATATACTTGCCGCTTCGCCTGCGTGTTCTTTCATACACTTAAACACCCCCCGACGTAGAACGTAACATGTTGCATTCAGAACTTAGGCGGTGGCCGGAACCTTTTCCCTGGAGCAAAGAGGATTTGGAATAAAGTTGTCAGCCAGGAGCCCTTTAGAAAACTCTTCAGAAGGGATTGGGGATGATGCCACTATGTAGCTCCGAATCTTCTTTCAAGGAACCAAGAAGGATTCAACATTGAGGCTCCGTGAACATTGAGAACGCTTGCCTGTCCCAAAGCTCCTGCCAAAAGCTTGCCTGTTTCACACACGCATTTGTATATACTGTATATATATATATACATACGTATACACACATATGTGTGTGAAACACTGTGAAACTACATGGTGCTTCCAAAGAAGGCGTCAAAATCGGCCAGAAAGTTCAGCTTCTGGAAAAACGATCTGCTGTAGGTGGCTTGATGGTAGCCTTAGAAAACCAATGTTATGTTCCTGAATCATGGTCATGGCAAGTTAACCCCCGAAGATACCCCAATTGAATCGTGGAACATGCAGTTCCAGAAGTCCAGAAGATCCGAATGCCAGCTCGCACGAGTCAAGTGAACTATTGATCAGTTCATACAGCTTAAAATCTCTCCGAGGCTTGTGTCTTCTTTCATGTGTTGCCGAACAGGTGATCATGCAACAGCAGTTGTTGTTTCTTCTTTTGAGGCATTGAGTTTTTTAACGTGCGTCTTCTGTCCAGTCTGTCCCTGTGTTCATCTCTTCCCACTGCCGCGCATGTTGAAACATAACATACATTTCAACATGTGAACTTCCACAGGGTCATTGCATTGCATGCCATGCATTTCTTTACATCAAGCTCTCCCACATCATCCCACATCCGATTTTTCCCCCTGTCCTTGTGATCTGGCAGCTTGATATGCTGCGTCAAATTGAAGGCCCACCTCACCAGAAAACGTTTGGTCAACCGCTTGGTGCGAACTTCTGGGGTCATACGGTTCTTTCTTTGATGGCACTCGTACTCATTTGACCCTATTTCATGCTAGAGATCCTTGGAGGGATGCGCATGTCAAAGCCGTTGACTCCAGTGCCCCCCGTGCGGGGACACCCCGGACTTTGAGTCGGTGAGCAACGGGTAGGTCGCGACTGCAAGGCTTGGGTTGAACATTGGTGGCAGGAGTTTCCCCGACAAAAACATGGTCCAAAAAAATAGAACACCTGAAACCCCAGTCGCAGCCAGCTGATTGAAGGAAACAGAAGTTAGCCGAATCTTGACTATACTGACTATACCATATGGTGTCACACTGCATGCCATATTGCAAATTAAGATTGTGACGTTGTAACACCTTGAGCCATTTCATGCATACAATATACATCAATATACGATGTTCGGCCATGGTGGTTGAGCCGCAGGTGGTTCTGTGGTCCGGCAGTCGCAAGGATCTGAGGAACCGAACCAGGGTGCGACACAAAGTACCACTCACAAATTGGATTTCACTGGGGGTGAAAAGGACAGTTATGTATGTTAATGTCTTAAAGCTGCCTGTGGGATGAACCCGGTGGCCGCTTCATTTCAAATATTTCAAGGCAACATCCTGCTACTTTCCACTCAGTGTCGACCGAGTCGTTTGCAACCCTTAATTATATAAGTACCACTCACAATCACAAATCTAGGCCTCTAAAAGAGATAGAGAATTGCAGCTTGCTGCTGTCATCTGTCATGCTGAACTCCAAAACTGGTTGAATGATCTGGAATTGATTCACCTCAGCCTCCCCCAAAACCAAAGGTATAAAGTCCAACAACACATCTGGCCACCACAGGGTCGTCAAGGGGTTCCACCAAACCCCCAGGATGAAGGTCCAAGGTCCAAACCATGTCCTGAAGGACAACTCGATTGTTTCCACCGAAGCGCCAATGTTTCTTTCGTGCGGCTTCGAGGTTGCCAAAGTTCCATGGAATCCATGCCGATCTTGTATATACAGTATATATATATACTGCATGTATCTGCATGTATATTATAACGCAACACTTCATGTACGGAATATATGCCACATCTCTCCGTCTAACCACTCCAATGTAAGCAAATATGGGAGTCCCATGGAGTGTTCTTGATATATTGGCATCCATGAGTAACACCCGATGTATGTTCACAATTATCCAGAAGTCCGCTCTGGTGGAGATCACTCCCTCAGGACCTCTGGCCTTCACAAAACGAAACACCAGGCAAACCAGAATTAATGGGTCGTATCGCCATGTGGGTTGTAAGGCGCAGGTGCTCATTTGCGGGGAAAATCTGAAGGGAGTTGGCAAACAAAACCCACCTCCGGAGCAAATCCAAACCATGAATTGGTCATGCAACGAGCGAGGCACCGAGTATGAATATGGCCGAAATAACTGTCCTAAATGCCAGCAGTGTCCATGCTTGTTAGCAAGGATGAGTAAGGTGGGACGTCTTGCTTCCCTCATCCCACCCAACCCTCACCAGCGGCAGTGCTCCCCATGACTTGACATGTCGAATGGCGTAAACCAGCAAGGCCATAATTTAACTGACAGACACAATATGGACACACAATTGTCACGATAACCCAAAACAATTGTAATCCAATAGGCCATCGCCCTAGATCAACAACCACAACATGTCCGCCAATCTCCTTTTGTTCGGCCACAGAGGGAATCGGCAAGCCGTAGGGTTTGTCCCGGTGCAGTGGTAGCCAGCCGGTCAGCCAGTCCTGGGTCAACCGTAGCCAGCCGGCCCCACGTGTCGAATCGGATCGAGAAGGTCGAGAAGGCTGAAGTTATTCGGTCAACAATAGGAGCCGCAAAAAAAGCAGGACCTGAGGAACATCTTGGAATCACATGGAATCAGGACCTCCAAACTCTGAGCTGAATGTTGTTCTCTAGTACCCCGCAATCGATGAAAACCGTATATACAGCTTGTGTGTCCAAAAATGTGATCCTCCCCAACAGTCTGTGGTTCTTAACTTGATCAGGTTGCGATCTCCCATCAGAATTGATCGGATACACGCCACAAGGGTCATGAGGAATTGGAACATATAGCAATGATTTATATATACAGATTATACATATACATATACATATATATATATATCTGTGTACTGTACATATATACATGAATGCATATTAGGTCAAAAGAAGGATACCTTGGTTGACCCATCTGGAAGGTCAAGCTACATGGTGGAACGGGGCTCCATCCCCATCCCCATATAAATGTATGTATGTATATATATATATATAGCAAGGTGTCACTTGAGACAGCCAAGTTCACCAACCAGCAACTCTCACTCTCATATCTCTTACTGGCCAAACTGCCCAGCGCACTCCCCGAAACGTCACCCTCCAAACCGAACCGAACGAACCGATGACGTCCTGTGGCATCTCCCGGGCATCTAAGAACTTCACCTTGGTAAGCCACTGTCCACTCATCGAGTCCGAGCATTTGGGTGGAAAAAATGGATAATTCTCACCGCAATTGATTATATAAGGGAAGGATTCCCCAGTGGTGAACATCCTCTGAGAGCAAAATGCGCCAAGGATGTACCTGACGACTCTGCACCCGTGCAACGGCCTGTTTTTTGCCCAACAGGTCGACCTCTACCCTCACTTGAAGACCCAGCAACCAGCCCTGGACAGAAAAAACACATCAAGTTTATTCAAATTCATTCAAAATCTTAAAAACAAAACAGGTTTATGATGCTTTTCACGCCCCGGCCCAACAACCACCTTCAAACGACCATGAAATACACGCATGATCTTTCTTCACTCCCTACAGTGTGTTCAATTTATTCCTACTCCGTTCAAAATCTGCTAAGCCCTACTCACCGTGCGCAATAAAAACAATCCAAATTTTGGTTCAATCAACCCGGCCCAATGTACAAACTATTGGCAATCGGTGAGCCATGTTGAGGCGGGCTTGTGGGCGTGCAAAGCTTTGAGATGAAAGATCCAAAACGGGTTGCCGAGTGGTAACCCTTAAAAAGAGAAGCAAACGCCAAGTCTCCTTCTCGCGGATTGGATTGGGTAGCCCAAACCCCAAACAGGAAGGGTTGTTGTCCACAACCTCTTCTTCGGGGTTGGACCAGGTAGCCCAAAGCAAGCTCCCAACCCCGACGCTGCTGAGCGGAGACCCCTTTCCAAGCCTCAAAAGGGCTTCAATTCATAGTCGACAACCCCCCCCTAGGAGCAAGAAGCTACTAGGAACAAGTGCATCGCTTCTAGTAACAAGTGCCTTACTAGTAACAAGAAGCTACTAGGAGCAAGAATGAACTATCATGAACTCATGAACTCTTCGGGTCCACTGGTCTGACCTCCGACCTAGACCCGGTCACCGTCGCCCAAGGCACCGCGGTGCCGTCCACCAAGCGTCGGCCCCAGGTCACGGACCCCAGGGAGCCCAGCTCAGGGTCAACGCCTCACACCGGAAGAAGCGGTGGTTTTGGTCGACCCAAACGGCCACGAAGTGGAGGAACCAAGCCGGATGTGTCGTTCGATGAGTTACTGTGTGACGCTTTTGGATGCTTTTGATTGCCAGGCGATGTTCCAAGGACTCTCATTTTGAAGGGTTTGAATATTCTTGGATGAAGCAAGTGATGTTTCGTCATGTTCAGGATCAAAGCCGCGTGGTTTTGATGCACCGGGATGGTGTGGAAGGAAAATACCCGCCGCCCTCATGCTCAATGCCAGCGGCCGAAACATGGGCCGAAACCAACCCAAGTGGTCGGAGCATCGTGGCCTGCAATGCCCGCGAAGAGCCAGAAGGCGTGGCGCAAGTCGAAACGTGGATCGTGGCCCAAGGCTGTGACCTCCATGCATTCCGAACGTCGGCCGTCGAAGAATTTGTAATATACATATATATATATATTATTCACTCCCTGAAGCAATCATGGAAGTGGAACACTTTCGCCCCTGGATCCCATTTCCTCTATGGGGGCGTGGTCAGCTTCCATGATTGTTGGAGGGGGGTGAGGGTATACAAACAAGCTTGGAACCACAACCGCATACAACCATGTGTCACCAATACGTTGGGTCTATCTCATTGTCAGTGACGATGATGGTTAGTAGAGGGCTTGTTCAAAAACATGATAACCGTTTACCAACAGTTACTGGTAATGGGATAGGCCCTGCCAATGACGCTTCGTTCTGGATTTCGATCCGATGCCAAACGGAGAAAATAAACAAGACATACACTCGGAGGATGGTGCCCCGTACAGTACCTCACATGGGAGGCCACACGAGGCAGTTGGCGCTTCCGAGCAATGCCCAAGTGACCGACATGGCTGCACTCTTGGAGGTCTGCCCAGTCACAAGGCCAAGGATCTGCAAGTCACCTGAAGCGTAGGCCCTGTAGGGACTAAATGACACCACCCAAGCGAAAATACTGACTGTAGAGTAGTCCACTTGGTAATCTTTGGCACGGTCCCAGTATTCATCACATTACAACTTGTCTACAGTGTCTTCTCTACACTTACATTGCACACTTACATTGAGTGGTTTGATCTTTGCAAATCAATCTTATATATATATATAGACCAACGTGTTAAAATACAGTATATATACTTTCTTTATCTTTATTTGTACGATGCATGTGGTAGTTCACACACACACACACTCCTCAGAAAGGAACAACTTTTGGGACATTTTGGGACATTATGTAGATGATGTGAACTTGTGGCCGACTTGCAAAGAACGTGCTCACAAACATATCGTTCAGGGGGGTGTAGGTGAAGTTTCTTTAATTTAGGTGTCCTACTTGGAAGACTGTCCACATGAACTTGCCACTGTGATGCCACTGCCAAGATACACCAAACCGGCCGATAAGAGTCGCTGGGGCGAAAACCCGGTGTTCCATTGTCTTCCGGTGGTTTATAGGTGGCAACCGTTGTCTCACATTGCTGGGAATCCCACAAAAAAAACTAGATGAGCAAACGGAGGCACAAAGCAACACGCTATGGCTCCGCTTCTGAGGTTCAGTGATCAGGAATATCGAGAGAAACAGCCGAGTGATTGGAACCCTTCGGTGCATGGAACCGCCTTGCTGTGCGGACCTTGCGACGACTTCGCACGGATGGCACGGATTGGCCCCGGATGTCTCCGCACGGATCGGCCCATTATATATCCATGCAAGCAGTAGCAAATTCTGGTTCCAGTCCTGGTGTTCCGTTTCTTTCTGCGGATATGGCCTGTTCGAAATCAACACGTGGGTGGGGATGAGACGAGCTCAACAGCTTAACTTTTATTGCCCAAAAACATACGATTAAAGAACTTGAAAATACTTGGTATACAGGTACGGCTCCTCATATCTCGTCATGAACGCACTCTGGGAAAAAGGACGTCGACGAATCAAGCGTTAATAGGATTTCATGAACAGCTCCGATGAACTACCCAGCTACACCAAGTCACCAACAGCAACATCATACACATGCGCCTGTTGATTCATACTGTATATGCATGCATATTCCCGAATGCGTAGCGAAGGGTTCCCGTTTATAGTTGGGGGTCTGGGGGTTGGAGCTGTGTTTGCATGGCTGTCTCGTCGTCTCTCGTCGTCTCTCGTCGTCTGTCGTCGTCTGTCGTCGTTTGTCGTCGTCGTCGCGTCTCAAATTCGAGGCCATTGGGGGAAGCTTTTGCAAGTGACTGTTCATGGATGTGTCACGTGCCAGTTTGCGCCGCTATTTCATGTGATTGGCATGACCATGACATGTCGCGCAAGAAACGTGATGCAATTCGCTGCACGGGCGCAGCGTGTTTTGTGAGATCCGCAGTTTGCTGCGCAGTTTCATTGGGATTAGCGTTTGGAGAGTCGTGTTTTTGGGGTGTTGGATGTGGCCGTGCCATTGGGATTTGCGTTGCAGGGTGTGGCATCGAAGCTCAGTTTTCAAGTCTCAGCTGAAACGGCGATTTTGGTGGATGGGAGTGCATGTTCTCAGAACGGGTCGAAATCATCCCAAACGCGTAGTGTGGTGCAACTTTTGTTGATGCTTACATGAGATGATATTCTCACTTTTCGTGGCAGGCGCAGTACTTGGTGCGGGTTTTGAGGCGTGGAAGTGCGAATCGCGTGGCAGGCGCAGGGAATCGTGAGGTTGCGAGGCTGCGAGGTGTGACGGAGGTGACTTTTCGTGGCAGGCGCAGTACTATGTGATACTATGTCCGCGTCAGACGTGTGGACGCGGAAAGATTCGTGGCAGGCGCAGGGAATCGTGAGGTTGTGAGTTGTGGTAGAGTCAGAGGTGAATGTCGCTGTAACATTGGGATTGGCGTGTGGGCGGATGTTGTTTGGAGGGGCTGGAATCGCGAAACTGCTTGGCAGGGCTGCGTGATGTGTGTGCTTCGATGGGTGTTTCCGCTTGACTTTTGGAGGGAGTCTCGTACGAAACGCTCGTTTTGGAGACTTGACGCGCAACCCTCTGCGGAGATCGTGCGTGTCGAGTGTGCGAAATGCAGGCGAGAGTGCGATTGTCCCATCCGCGCGCAACCCTCTGCGGAGATCGTGCGTGTCGAGTGCGTGAAATGCAGGCGAGAGTGCGATTTCTCCGGTGCCCGCGCAACCCTCTGCGGAGATCGTGCGTGTCGCGCGCGCGACATGCAGGCGAGCACTGACGACTTTGTAGTGCAACTGTAGTACGCGGAGTATCTGGGGAGCTGGAAGCTGAGAACTGGCGACTTTGTAGTACAACTTTAGTACGCGGAGCAATCTGTGGAGCTGGAAGCTGAGAACTGGCGACCTTGTAGTAGTACAACTTTAGTACGCGGAGTATCTGGGGAGCTGGAAGAGTGCCCCACAAGAGTGAACAGTGTCCCACTAGAGTGTCTCACAAGAGTCTCCCTTAAGAGTGTCCTACAGGAGTATCCCACAAGAGTGTCCTACAAGAGTGTCCCACAAGAGTGTCCCACAAGAGTGTCCCACAAGAGTGTCCTACAAGACTGTCTCACAAGAGTGTCCCACAAGAGTGTCCTACAAGAGTGTCCCACAAGAGTGTCCCACAAGAGTGTCCTACAAGAGTGTCCTACAAGAGTGTCCTACAAGAGTGTCCCAGAAGAGTGTCCCACAAGAGTGTGCCACAAGAGTGTTCCGCAACAGTGTCGCTCAAGAGTGTCCCACAAGAGTTTCCTACAAGAGTGACCCACAAGAGTGTCCTACAAGAGTGTCCCACAAGAGTGTCCTACAAGAGTGTCCGACAAGACTGTCCCACAAGAGTGTCCCATAAGAGTGTCCCACAAGAGTGTCCCACAAGAGTGTCGTATAAGAGTGTGCCACAAGAGTGTCCTACAAGAGTGTCCCACAAGAGTGCCCCACAAGAGTGTCCCACAAGAGTGTCCTACAAGAGTGTCCCACAAGAGTGTCCCACAAGAGTGTCCCACAAGAGTGTCCTATAAGAGTGTCCCACAAGAGTGTCCGGCAACAGTGTCGCTCAAGAGTGTCTCACAAGAGTGTCCCTTAAGAGTGCCCGACAAGAGTATCCCACAAGAGTGTCCTACAAGAGTGTCCCACAAGAGTGTCCCACAAGAGTGTCCTACAAGAAGAGTTTCCTACAAGAGTGTCCCACAAGAGTGTCCGACAAGAGTGTCCCGTAAGAGGGTACGACAAGAGTATCCCACAAGAGTATCCTACAAGAGTGTCCAACAAGAGTGTCCCACAAGAGTGTCCTACAAGAGTGTCGTGTAAGAGTGTCCCACAAAAGTGTCCTGCAAGTGACCCACAAGAGTGTCCTACAAGAGTGTCTCACAAGAGTGTCCCACAAGAGTGTCCTACAAGAGTGTCCCACAAGAGTGTCCCACAAGAGTGTCCTACAAGAGTGTCCTACAAGAGTGTCCTACAAGAGTGTCCCAGAAGAGTGTCCCACAAGAGTGTGCCACAAGAGTGTCCCGCAACAGTGTCGCTCAAGAGTGTCCCACAAGAGTTTCCTACAAGAGTGACCCACAAGAGTGTCCTACAAGAGTGTCCTACAAGAGTGTCCGACAAGAGTGTCCCACAAGAGTGTCCCACAAGAGTCTCCCACAAGAGGGTCCGACAAGAGTGTCCCTCAAGAGTGTCCGACAAGAGAAACCCACAAGAGTGTCCTACAAGAGTGTCCAACAAGAGTGTCCCACAAGAGTGTCTCACAAGAGTGTCGTGTAAGAGTGTCCCACAAAGTGTCCTGCAAGTGACCCACAAGAGTGTCCTACAAGAGTGTCTCACAAGAGTGTCCCACAAGAGTGTCCTACAAGAGTGTCCCACAAGAGTGTCCCACAAGAGTGTCCTACAAGAGTGTCCTACAAGAGTGTCCTACAAGAGTGTCCTACAAGAGTGTCCCACAAGAGTGTCGCACAAGAGTGTCCCACAAGAAGAGTTTCCTACAAAAGTGTCCCACAAGAGTGTCTCACAAGAGTGTCCCTTAGAGTGTCCGACAAGAGTATCCCACAAGAGTGTCCTACAACAGTGTCCCACAAGAGTTTCCTACAAGAGTGTCCCACAAGAGTGTCCCACAAGAGTGTCCTACAAGAGTGTCGTGTAAGAGTGTCCCACAAGAGTCACAAGAATGTCCTGCAAGTGTCCCACAAGAGTGTCCTACAAGAGTGTCTCACAAGAGTGTCACACAAGAGTGTCCTACAAGAGCTTGCTACAAGAGTGTCCCACAAGAGTGTCCCACAAGAGTGTCCCACAAGAGTGTCCTACAAGAGTGTCCTACGAGAGTGTCCCACAAGAGTGTCCCACAAGAGTGTCCCACAACAGTGTCGCTCAAGAGTTCCCTACAAGAGTGTCCCACAAGAGTGTCCCACAAGAGTGTCCCACAAGAGTGTCCTACAAGAGTGTCCTACGAGAGTGTCCCACAAGAGTGTCCCACAAGAGTGTCGCACAAGAGTGTCCCACAAGAGTGTCCCACAAGAAGAGTTTCCTACAAAAGTGTCCCACAAGAGTGTCTCACAAGAGTGTCCCTTAAGAGCGTCCGACAAGAGTATCCCACAAGAGTGTCCTACAACAGTGTCCCACAAGAGTTTCCTACAAGAGTGACCCACAAGAGTGTCCTACAAGAGTGTCCTACAAGAGTGTCCCAGAAGAGTGTCCCACAAGAGTGTCCTACAAGAGTGTCATTTGGACATATGTAGTTTTTCGATTGTGTTTGCATTCGGGTTCGTGGGTTCCATCTTGTTCATAGAGATGGCAGAATAAGTTATAAGATAATGTTCGTGGGTGTTTGCGAAGTTTGCTCGTCACTTTTGGATGGATTTTCCTTGAAATCGGAGCAACGGATTTGACTGAGATTCCAACAGCCCGGAGAAGCTGAATCGATCAATTCCAACAGCACAAAAACTGTGCACTTTTACCAAAAAAAGAATAAGGTCGACGTGGAGAAAATGATCTACCCTCAGAAATGCGAGACAATTATTGACATATATTGCGAGGATACCCCCAAAAAAACATGCTCTGCGTGACTTGAACCTGAGTCCAAAGACCGGGAGATTCTGGCACCGGCAACCCAGAGAAATGAGTGTACACTCCAACTCACTAACATGGAAGTGGAAAACCCACTGTTTGTAAAGGAAAGTAGTCTTCCAAGAGGCCATTTTTCCACTTCCATGTTAGTGAGTCAGAGTGTAGATCCAAATTCGCAGGAAACGCAACCATGTCATAAGGATGTGTATCTTGTGCTTCAATCATCTTCAATCCTTCCATCCCGTCGACCTGGTGCGCTTTCGCCCCAATCGTTGGAGCCCACGTTCTGATCGTTCTGCCCCAGCCCATCCCTGGAACACCCCATGACTCCATCGTTCTGCCAAAACACTGTTCCAATGAAGAACCTGGGGGCCAGCACCAGCAGGAAATGGCAGTTCTTCTGACAACGGCAATCGCTCGATCCACCTGAGCATGTCGCCAAACATGTCGCTTGGGGTCACCAGCAAAAAACGCATACACACATGACCTGCAAGATTGAACCTCTGAGATGTCAGGTTCCATTGCAGCTTAAACTTTACCCGGCTCTCTGACCATCTTTGTCAGACAATTTATCCAAATTAAAAGATCTTACATGATATTACAAGATGCGAACCCCTCATGGTCCGGGTTACAATCACCCCTTTACCAATTCCAACTATGGCGTTGACATTCCTCTTCTAGACACCGCAACTCCCCGTTCCCCCCATACCCTTGCGAACGCCCCACCCAACGAAATCCTCTGCGGACAAACCCTCTACCCCCCTCTACTCCTAGTAGCTTCTTGTTACTAGTTTTTTTAGTAAGGCCAGGAGCCCCTAGTAGCGTCCTTGCTCCTGGTAGCGATGCCAGGAGCCCCTAGTAGTACCCCCCCTATACTCCGAGCACCCGGGCCGTTCCAACTCCGGCGGAAAGGCGGCCACAAGCACCACGCGTGGCACCAGCTGAGCGACGGATGGCGGCAGCAGCAGCAGCAGCAGCAGTGGAAGAAGGCGCCGCATGGCGCGCGCTGAAATTCGGGGCCCACTTTGCGGGTCGGATGATGTGGTGTTCAATGAGTGTTTTGGAATGCAGGCCTTCAACAAATGGGCATTGGATGGCATCGGTAAGTATTTATATATATGATTTGTTTAAAGCATGTGTTAGCCCCTATATAATTACTATTGGTTATGCAAGGCTTCCAGGGATTGATCAATCCAGAAATGCTTCAGAAATGCTCATCACTCAAGTGTACGGAAGTTTTGTCGGATGCTCCATGCGCTTGCCGCTCGCTGCGCGGGACACCATGGATGGTTTTGCCCGCAACATCTACTGGCTGTCGACCCACCATTTATGGAATTGGTACAACACCCTCTGCTTCGATGGAAAACTGAAAGAACCACAACCTGGATATACATGTTCAAGACATTTGCTCCTCCAAGGTCCTAGATAGTGCCTTGGTGACTCGATGACGTGATTGCACTTTGAGGCACACCATGCTAAATAGCCATGGGACACATGTTTTTTTGAGGTTGGCTGGTGTTCTCCAAGTGGTGCATGGTTCCGGCAACATACTCATGCCCAAGGACAACCTCTATATATACAGTTTATGCTCCCTGTCCCGCACACAAACGGTCTTGTCGCTACACCGATGAAGCGCCCCCCCCTCCGCCGTTCCAAAGGGTTTGGAACTGCCGATCCACATTTGTTCGGTTCCCCCTGGTCCACCAAACCCGCCAGTTCAACACTGCCATGGTGCACCAGGCTTTGCGTTCATGGTCTTCCCCGCCCCTCACCATCCGCCATCAGACCTGTAACGAATTTGTGTGTTCACTTGGTCAACTTCGGTTCGAACCTTTTTCTACGGAGCACAGATTTGATCCCAGTTCCAGTGAATTTTAGGCGTTAGGGGCCACTTCGAAGAGCCCTTCGGCGCATGTGTTTCAATGCCTTCTTCAAAAATCCCCCTGTCCACCATACCTTGTCAACCCTTGAGCCCCTGTGAAGTGCACCGAATGTCAATGCAGGTGCAGTGTTCAAAAAAACAATCTCGACACGTTTTCAGAGCACATAGGTGACGACGTGTGTCGCAGGTGCCAAGTCGCTCGCTCTTTTTGCATAGCTGTGGCGGCATGCTAAGCCACCGAGACTAGGCCTCTTGAAAGGGGAAACCAAAGCCATGCGCCGCAGGTTTTGTTTCGAGGGCAGGCGCGGAATAGGAATTCCATCGTGAAGGTCACATACGTTCTTTTTGAACAAAGGATGTGGACGAGGTGATGTGTTGATCACAGAACGGATGCGTGCAACAACAATTTGATGCAATTTGGTGCGAACATGAGGCCAGGGGGAGGAGGTCGAAAGCTAGCCGAATCGCACCGGATGTACTAGTGCCGGAACGAGGGGTAAGCATCACAAGGACTGTGCATACACTAGGGCGTCCGTAGTGTAGGATAAGCACTGGTAAAAGGTATCAAGAATAGAGAGTCTTGAGGAAATAGCCGGTGTATGGTTATAGCAAGCCTGGGGGGTAAATTTACCACCCGCTTATGCATGCATTAGGTTAGAAATAGGGGTAGACAACGTGTAACGGTGAAGTACAAGTCCTATGCAGCAAGCAGCAGCCAGCAGCAGCAGCAGCAGCAGCAGCCGCCTGCAGCCTGCAGCCAGCAGCAACCGCCAACCAGCAGCCAGCCAGCAGCACCACGCAGCAGCAGCGCAGCATCAAGCCGCAGCAGCAGCAGCAGCACCACCGGCAGCAAGCAGCAAGCAGCAAGCAGCAGCAGCGGCGTCGTCAGCAACAGCAGCAGCAGCAGCACCAAGCCGCAACAAGTAGCAAAGCAGCAGCTACAAAAGCGGCAACCAGCGGCAGCAGCAAACAGCAGCAGCAAGCAGCAGAGCGGCAGCAGCAGCACCGTTTACACCAAGCCACCGTTTACACCCAACCAACCACGTTCACACGGCGCGCAGCTGTGAGTCGAACCGTGGGGGGGGGGGTGGTTTGCGTGATATATCAAGCTTTAAGGCACACAGCTCATCCCACTACCAATTGCTAAAGCAAAGAAGAACTCAGCTAGCATGCTAGCTTTCGTGATAAGCGGGGAACTCTTTTTGCGTGCCAAACCTACCGGTACAGTCGTATGCCAAATGATCAACCATAAATAGTCCTGCCGACAAATGAGACCTGAGTAGCTTGAGAAGTGAGGGGACGAAAGCCAGCCATCCCTAAAACGCTCCAAAGTGCATCGGCCATGTCCTGCTTTGTCCAGGGTCTTATCACTGCTATTTTCAGAAGCGCGCTGTTTTGCCCCAAGACAGCCCTCAAACAACACGCAGAAAGGCAACAGAAACTTGTCCTTCAGGTCCTGGGAAACTTGGTGCTACCACCATCTACCACCCACTGTCTCAAAGGTGCCCTTTTTGGCCCCGAGGCGGCCCTGATTCAAACCCAACACCAACGCGCCTACCTAGAAATGCGGCTTCAATCGGCTTCAATGTTTTTCTTCGTCTTCGACTCTGCATCGCCTCTAAAATTGTGTGTCTTTACATATTGCACCTGCTTCGACAAATTCGTTCTAGCCGTGTCCTGCTTTAGGGCCTTCTCACTAGAACCTGCTTTTCGGAAGTACTCTTTTTGATATTTCTTGCACCGCAGCGGCCCTCCTCCTCAAGGTCTGTTCCGGAAAGCTTGGTGCTAGCACCCACTTACTCAGAGGTGCCCATTTTTGAGACGGCCCCCAAACAAAACGCAAAAGGGCACCAGCCCAGAAATGCGGCTTGAGGGGTTTTGATTGAAAAATCTAACTTCCTTTTCACGCCAGGCTTGCCTTCACGCATGGCTTGACTCTGCGAACTTAAGCGAAACTATGATACATATTTGTATATATATATAGTATATACGTATATACATATAGAAATAGTATGATATAATATGGTATCATACTGGAACCGGCAAATTTGCCAAAGCATTCCAACTGATGATGCACCAAGGCCGTCATAGCGCAACATTTTGCCGACCCAGTTTTGTTGCTCTCCCTCAGCAGGCTCTGGGTTTACCCTCCCAAAGCCTGTCTTTTTTGACCTAGCCCCACAAATACTCACCTTGTTCGCCTCAACCGAACTTCAGCCTATCCTATCGGCTCGCTTTTGTTTAAAAAAAAAGTGAACAATCATAAACACAAACTATCTGCATGTTTAAAGAGCTCATATATCAATAAGCAAACAACATACTCCAGGTATCTTGCAGTTTGCTTCTCATGTCTAATTGCCGCTTTACTGGCCCCAAAACAGTTTTTAGTGTAGGTGTCATTATTATAGATATAGTATATAGACCATAGTAGTCCACTCAAGCCTGACACCTATTGTTCAATTCTCACCTGGTTTGAGATGGGTTTTGCGAAGGACAAAAGGCAATCCCTAAATGTTGAGGGTTCTAATTGTTTGATACGAGCTTTATATAATAAGATTGCTGTAAACCGTGTTTTTTAATTTATAGATTATATATATAGTGTTTTTGTAGTTACAGTAGTTGTCCAAGGCAACTCTTCGGTTTGAAGCTCTTCCCAAAGATTCATGGAATTCTGCCCCTCCTATTTCCAAAAGTTCATTTTGTTTGTCCCCTCGTTTGGTTCACTCTTAGTTTGGTAAAACTATGTAAAACTGATGTTCTGACAGAACGTTTGCAAGCAACACATATTCGATTGGGATGCTTCTTGGAGACTTGCGCCATGATACAAATCAACTCACTGTGCTACATGGTCCGTAGCACAACTGTTCGGTTTTCACCAAGCCGTTCCCAGGGACCCCGGGGTTCCCAGGGTCCCCTTCCGTATTGAACTAATATAGGTTGAAGGGGGCGGCTGCGGGGCATGTCATTTTCCTCTACATATTATATATATATATATGGCTGTGGCGTTTCGGTTTTGGGATACGGAGAAAGGCGCCGTCGGGATCCTTCGGGCACATAGCTTCAGGGACATCGAGGATTTCGCCTCAATGCCAAAGTCGGGTGTCCCAGGGCTTGTGGCACTGGACGATGGAGTTTCCCAAAGCCTGATCAAAGCCGAACACCAAAGGCTGCCATGGGTTGAAGATGGTTGAAGAAAGGACCAACTCAAATCCAACAGCTGCCGGCTGGAACGGACATTCATGCTTGGCTCTTGGCTTGACTCCTACGGCGAAGAGACGAATTAGTGCCTCCCTCCAAACGCACAAAAATGGATTTGCTCAGTCTCTCGTCAAATCTCGTTAACAGTTCACACGTCTCCGCGTCCAAAGCTGTGGGAACCCAGCGGGGATCGGAAGGAAATCTCCGGATCTCGGCCTCCCGGCCAAGAGGCTACCGATGCTTTCGTTTTGGGCCGTGCCGTGATCCGTTTTTGGGGCTTGCGGTCGCGTGCCGTGCGTAGACGTCGTATAAATGTACCTGCTCTAATAGACCGTCTTCGTGGTGGACTGATTGGGTGTCATGACAAGTATGTGCGGTCTTCTCATCGTTTGAGCAATAAAAGTGGGAGGACTAGTGGGAGGGTGTCATAGGAGAAGGTGTGTTCAGGACAAGTCCCCGGAGCTTTACACATTAAACACCATGGCATAGCAAATCCCGTCCGTTGTCTTATTTCAACGACTTCTGTTGTAAACATCTTTAAACTTCAAGCACTGCTGATGCCCTCCACCACAGAATGATGTGCACACGAGAAAATGGGTGGGCTGGGAAACACTTCTAACTACATATCTACGAAATCACGGTTTGATTGCTGCCAACCACTTGCTGGCAAAATATGTAAACAATGCAAACATATACAATAGCGTACAATAGCCTATATGGTGCCCACGATGAGCGTCGATTCATTTGAAACAGTTACTCTCAATTCCTGCCAAGTCAAATTGAATGCCGGAACATGAAGTTCTGTAATTAACCGGGTCTGGTAGATTCAACCGAGCTACACCACTGCTCCTTCTTGTAAATTGGCGAAAACATACGTATGTGTAGTATGTGTATATATATATACACACATATATATAT